CTTTACAGCTCTGAGTTAAAGAAGGATTAAGTGATACGTCATCGTATAAATTTGTCAGCGAGCGTGAGAACACAACAAGAGCAGGTAAAATACTGATTCCAACGACCGCCAAAATGAGAGTCGTCTCGTGTTTTAGCGGTGTTTGGACGTGGACGTCCTGCGATAAGCAAGTCACCGACTGTAAACATTTTATGGCCTCTCAGTGGACCGTTCTACGTGGTGAGGAACATTTAATATGAAACTGCCCTTAACAATAATAAAAATCTATTAATAGTATAACGTCGAATCATTAAAAATAATTAGTGCTCTACAAAAGCTAACAAAAGCATGAAAAACGCTGATGCAATCTATGTAAACACAAAGAAAATTAGTAGGTTGATTATTAGCTCGATATAATGGGGTGTAATTGAATAAGAATAATTAACAACGCCACATTAACGCGGATAATTGTGCTGTTGAGGCAAAGATTGTTTTGCCTAATGCACGCCATTAATTAGCCTAGCACCCCTATAAGCAATGTGTATTGATTATGTCAATTAGAGTAAGCAGCTTTTGTGAAATAGATTACACCGTACCTTCAACTAACTGTCAACCGCCATTGCCTATACATGAACATAATTAGAGCTTAGGGGTGCAAGAGTATAATGCGCGTGGTTAACTAATTTAATGGAAGAAATGAAGTTTTAAAATCTCTAGGAATTAATTCAAAATGTATGAGTACCTGCGCTGAACAAACAATAATTATTCTATTTTCAATTTTATCAGAAGAACTGTTTAAAACATTGTAGCTCAGAATGTTTATGATGATGTTTTGCTCTTTTGACATATTTACAATTAATTGTTGCATTCTCAGATTGGGGCTTCATTATCCAGGCCTACAAAATCAAAGTATGTAGCTAAGTAACAGAAAAACCTTTTGAACGTTCTCATCTCTCCTATAGTTTATAACTAACGTGATATTATCTTGGCGAGGGATGAAAAGTAACTTATATTGTATTGAAGTACTCCCGGAAATGTATGTAATAAATGACATTTTATCCTTTCTATTCAGCTAGATAATCTTGTATTTGGATAGTTTAAAATTCTTTAGCAACAAATTATTTTATAACAAATGTTTGTAAAATGAATGTTAGGTCCATGTGGAATTTACTGTTTAAATAATGTAACAGTGCACGTTTTATTGCTTATTGACGAATATGCTACCTCATGGGCCTTACTATAAAATGCAGCATTATGTGGATTGCCATCGAATGGGTAAACAACAAATCGCGATTCGAGGTGAGCCAAACTGCGGTTTTGGCTGTGGTTTCAGTGTGGAACCAATGTTACTGATACAATACAATTTCCAATACAGATTCCGATGTAGTTCTAATGCGACTAAGGTAAAGCTCCGCTATTAATGTAATTTGGTTGAATACAATAAACACTCATCAGGTTGAGTTTTACTAACTGTCTTGATTAGATCATGTGAACTGGCTTTTATGGGGCGAAAATTATTTCTTTCAAAATTAACTTGAAGACAACAACAAAAAATTAGATATTTTCTGATCTCCATTTTAATTAATGACATAAAGAGAGTTGTCAAAACCCCTTTTATTTAGTTTGCTGATAATGATGTTCTCAGCAAAGTTTTGTCCCAAGTACAAAGGTAATATGATGTCAATCCCACCAAAAATAAGTTGATGAACTTTAGCATAAAACAAAATTCTCTGGATACTGAATATTTCCTATATGACAGCCTGTTCTGGACGTCTAACCAACAAAGGCCATAATGTTTTGTTGACTTGTCATTAAAGTTATGACCATACACATTCACCACATCTGCACCAAGGCCTCAGGCATGCTTGAAATGATCTGCTCTGCAAGACACTGTTTGAGCATTGAGCATGCATGCCTGCTCGATCCAGTGTAGTCCTTTGTGCGCCGACCTAGAGTACTACGGTGGAGTCTGGTCGCCTTACTAACCAGCTCAGCCTTATTAACTAGGCTACCTTCGTTTCGTCCACACACGGGAAGAATGAGCGTGCACCTAGTAATCCTGTTTGTGAAGATATTCATTGTTGTTACAATGTACTATGCTGTTGCTTTCAATGGTACATATTAGCTTTTGTTACAACGTAGTCTTCAAGCTAGTTCCAATACTCTGGTTATTGTCATTGTATTTTGATTCCTCCAAATGTTCATCGGAGCGCTACAATCATCAGTTCTAAACGGAATATGGAAATCAAACAATATTGTTATGAACATTCGATATTGTTCCATGTTCCATGTTTTCACTCCCACGTCATCAATGTAAATGAATGTTTCTAGCGTAATGCATATTAATATGAGCACAATTGTTTGGGTACCTACATTTAAATAACTGAAATCTGTTTTTTTACCTTTTTCCAAAAAGTTAGATTTTAAAAAAGATATTAAGTAAACATTTTCTTGGGTTTGTTTCATATAAAAAAGTTAGGCTACTAAGAATCATTTAACTTATCCCCGTGTGACATTAAAGTAAGTGAGTAGACAGAGCAGGTAGACATGCTGAATCGGCACAACACTATCGTAACGATACATTAACTGTCGAGGTCGTTAGTAATATCAGACTAACTAGTTTCAGTTTAACATAGATTACTTAATCTATCGTGCACCTTACTTTTATTTCGCTAGGTTTGCATTTTGCAAGTATGCAGTGGAAGGAAAAAGAATAGTATTAAAGCGTCGTTTTACCAGAAACATTGTTCTCAAATAAATTAGAACATAAAACGAGTTGGTGTACGATTGCAGTATCACAGATAAATTTGACCAGAAACAGAATTAGTCAATACATAATACAGTCTATGAATGCTGTAGTTTATTATAATTTCAAGATTTATCAGTATTACGTGATGGAGTTATCAAGGACCCAATATAGGCACATACTAAGTTATAACAAAACCCAAATTTTGTAGATAAAAATATATTTTAAAAAGCACATAACGGAATATATTTTAATAAACGAATTTTAGATTTTTTTACAGATCTCAACAAACTTTTAAACGTTTCATTGGGCACACTGTGTATTAGGTTTTGTACAGAATATGCTTGGCTAGTGATTGTTAGATTGATTAATGAACAGTCCTTTTCCATTGTTGGATCATTGTTGGTGAGCGAGTTCACCACAAAGCGGTGGTTAGCAGTGTGAATGTAATGGAACAGCCAGGTTTTGTGGTTCTGTTTGTGGTTGTGGTAGTGACTGTGGTTACACTTACACTATGACCAGCACCACATCTCTCTCACTCTGATTCCGATACGATGTTGTGTTCATAACAGATTTACTTCAAATAATTATATCTAGAATTTTTTTATTAAGTACCAGTAGTTTACAAATAGCCATTCAATGAACCCGGGGCTCCCCCACAATGTACCCGGGGCTCCCCCACAATGAACCCAGGGCTCCCCCACAATGAACCCGGGGCTCTCCCACAATGTACCCGGGGCTACCCCACAATGAACCCGGGGCTCCCCCACAATGAACCCGGGGCTCTCCCACAATGAACCCGGGGCTCTCCCACAATGAACCCGGGGCTCTCCCACAATGAACCCAGGGCTCCCCCACAATGAACCCGGGGCTCCCCCACAATGAACCCGGGGCTCCCCCACAATGTACCCGGGGCTCTCCCACAATGAACCCGGGGCTCCCCCACAATGAACCCGGGGCTCTCCCACAATGAACCCAGGGCTCCCCCACAATGAACCCGGGGCTCTCCCACAATGTACCCGGGGCTACCCCACAATGAACCCGGGGCTCCCCCACAATGAACCCGGGGCTCTCCCACAATGAACCCGGGGCTTGAATGAACCTCGCAATGAACCCTGTTACGTTTTACTATGAAAGAAGCATATTAAAATCCGCGTTGGAAAACTATTATAAGTAAAAAAAAGTAATTTTTTAACAATGTAGTTTATCGAAGTGGTGATACATACATTAAATAAAATTGATTCATATGAAACTACAATTCATACGGAGTTACTAAAATGTTGTGAAAACATATGTGAGAGAAGGTTTGTCGTAGGTTTCGTTTTTAATTTGAGGGGGTTACTAATCACTGAATGATGGTGGTTGGATTTGTCTATGATCAATTAATTATCATAATTAATTTGGTACAAAAATATGCTATTAGTAGCTATGTTAGCTTAAAGATTTTCACTTTTTGGCTGTAAAATATTTTTTAACGTTTAGGTTTTAGGTTACTTATTTATAAAAATATGTATTTCCGATGAGAGTTATACATATACAGTATTTACATATAATTTTCAATTATCCAAAAACAGCCAATCAAAGACCGACTCGTCAGCTGTCCCTTGTCCCTTGTCCCTTGTCCCTTACAAGACAGATGAGGGTCCAGGTCTGCCTCCCCCGGGCACAATATGGGGTTTATTCCCAGATTAAACCAAGTTTGAGCCCCTCCACTTCCGTCCCTGTAGCCATACATCTTACACCCTTGCTGTCACTTAGACAAGGTTTTTTCAACCACCTCAACAGTTTTAAATATTAAAGAAATGTGTATCAGCAGTTGCATTTGTACAGTTGGTTGGGTCATTAATGGTTATATTTATTCTCATAGATGGGTTTTCGTTACAACGTTGAAGCACTTTGATAAACAACCAATCTTGCTAAAAACTGATGAATCAAGGACCAAAAAAGAAATTTAATAGTAAAAATAATGTTCAGTGTAATTGGTAAGAAGTCTTGAAATACAGTAACCGTCCAAAAAGTACCACTGTCTATGCGTTCCGTGGCATAACTTGGATTACGTTTTACCAATGAAGTGTAGAAATATATTTTTATTTAGAAAGAGTTTTACAATCTCGTTTTGCACATTCCCGTCATGTATTATATACCATGCACACATTTTCACAATATTTGATTTAAATACATAGTTACAAATAGAATTTGCAAGCTAACCATAAATAATTCTTGTTAAAATCATTAGTTTAATTTAAAAACAAAAACACAGAAAAATTAACCTTACCTGTTTGTTAGGTGACGTTTTGGGGTCTGGAGGATCCACACAAGTAGGTACGAACAGAACCAGCGCGAATACACGACTGAGGACTGAGTGGCTTGGTGAGTGGTTAGTGGAGAGAGGAGAGTGGCGCTCTCGGACACCCGCGGGCTGCACCAGCTAACGACACCAGGATCAAATAATTTATCAGCTGTACATTAGCATACGCTGCTCTCAGTGCAGCCAGGACGTAGGACACTGGCTGGTCGTGAGGACTCATAACACGGCGATGATGAGGGCAGGACCAACAAATACCACCAGTACCAGATGATCTGACATTGCTCGGTAACTGATTCTGGAGTTGTACATTAGCATACGCTGCTCTCAGTGCAGCCAGGACGTAGGACACTGGCTGGTCGTGAGGACTCATAACACGGCGATGATGAGGGCAGGACCACCAAATACCACCAGTACCAGATGATCTGACATTGCTCGGTAACTGATTCTGGAGTTGTACATTAGCATACGCTGCTCTCAGTGCAGCCAGGACGTAGGACACTGGCTGGTCGTGAGGACTCATGACACGGCGATGATGAGGGCAGGACCACCAAATACCACCAGTACCAGATGATCTGACATTGCTCGGTAACTGATTCTGGAGTTGTACATTAGCATACGCTGCTCTCAGTGCAGCCAGGACGTAGGACACTGGCTGGTCGTGAGGACTCATGACACGGCGATGATGAGGGCAGGACCACCAAATACCACCAGTACCAGATGATCTGACATTGCTCGGTAACTGATTCTGGAGTTGTACATTAGCATACGCTGCTCTCGGTGCAGCCAGGACGTAGGACACTGGCTGGTCGTGAGGACTCATGACACGGCGATGATGAGGGCAGGACCACCAAATACCACCAGTACCAGATGATCTGACATTGCCCGGTAACTGATCCTGGAGTTGTACATTAGCATACGCTGCTCTCAGTGCAGCCAGGACGTAGGACACTGGCTGGTCGTGAGGACTCATGACACGGCGATGATGAGGGCAGGACCACCAAATACCACCAGTACCAGATGATCTGACATTGCTCGGTAACTGATCCTGGAGTTGTACATTAGCATACGCTGCTCTCAGTGCAGCCAGGACGTAGGACACTGGCTGGTCGTGAGGACTCATGACACGGCGATGATGAGGGCAGGACCACCAAATACCACCAGTACCAGATGATCTGACATTGCTCGGTAACTGATTCTGGAGTTGTACATTAGCATACGCTGCTCTCAGTGCAGCCAGGACGTAGGACACTGGCTGGTCGTGAGGACTCATGACACGGCGATGATGAGGGCAGGACCACCAAATACCACCAGTACCAGATGATCTGACATTGCTCGGTAACTGATCCTGGAGTTGTACATTAGCATACGCTGCTCTCAGTGCAGCCAGGACGTAGGACACTGGCTGGTCGTGAGGACTCATGACACGGCGATGATGAGGGCAGGACCACCAAATACCACCAGTACCAGATGATCTGACATTGCTCGGTAACTGATCCTGGAGTTGTACATTAGCATACGCTGCTCTCGGTGCAGCCAGGACGTAGGACACTGGCTGGTCGTGAGGACTCATGACACGGCGATGATGAGGGCAGGACCACCAAATACCACCAGTACCAGATGATCTGACATTGCTCGGTAACTGATTCTGGAGTTGTACATTAGCATACGCTGCTCTCAGTGCAGCCAGGACGTAGGACACTGGCTGGTCGTGAGGACTCATGACACGGCGATGATGAGGGCAGGACCACCAAATACCACCAGTACCAGATGATCTGACATTGCTCGGTAACTGATTCTGGAGTTGTACATTAGCATACGCTGCTCTCGGTGCAGCCAGGACGTAGGACACTGGCTGGTCGTGAGGACTCATGACACGGCGATGATGAGGGCAGGACCACCAAATACCACCAGTACCAGATGATCTGACATTGCTCGGTAACTGATTCTGGAGTTGTACATTAGCATACGCTGCTCTCGGTGCAGCCAGGACGTAGGACACAGGCTGGTCGTGAGGACTCATGACACGGCGATGATGAGGGCAGGACCAACAAATACCACCAGTACCAGATGATCTGACATTGCTCGGTAACTGATCCTGGAATTGCAAGGTTCGCCGTTATTTGTAGCAAGTTCAAGAATATTTTATGGAGTTTTATTGTGTATTGGCTATATAGTGAAAAGAACCTCATTTAAATAGGAGAAATACCTTAAATAAAAGTCTAGTGGTTTCCACTAAATATTTTTTTTTTAATTTATCACACTTTTTAAGTAATTAACAATTAATTGTTTAGAGCACATAAAAATGAACCACTTTGGTTGAAAAGCCTAAAAGAATGTCTCTTTGTTTATTTTTCTCTTCTTAGCAACCAAAATTCAGTAATAGCTATTTACATTACAAGTGTAGTAAGAGCGTTTTTACATCACACAGGTGAATGTTGTGCATAATTCACCAAAGTGATGTAAACACGCTCTTGCGTAACGTGTAACGTACACGATTTTACCTGACCCGACAATATCCATGGGTTTACGTACAATATTTTTCATTATCCATTTCACTCATCTTCTAACAGTAACGTTCTTTTACAAACAAAAGCTAGGTTAGGAAAATACAGCATAACATTACAATAACATTCAAGCGCACAGCTGATTTCTAGCGTTGAACGACGTTGGTATATAGAGGTATATTTTTTAAATTAGGCACTCAATGTTATTTAAATGGGTTTCTTTACATCACCGAGTGAGTTTTTGATACTTTACATCACTCGAGAAGTAAGGGAGTTGTATACATCACGCTTGGGATAGGGAAGTTTAACATGGCGGCTTAGGTAATAGCTATTTACATTACAAGTGTAGTAAGAGCGTTTTTACATCACGCAGGTGAATGTTGTGCAACGAGCGAAGGCGAGTTGCATAATTCACCGAAGTGATGTAAACACGCTCTTGCGTAACGTGTAACGTACAAGATTTTACCTGACCCGACAATATTCAGGAGGTCACGAGCAATATTCTTCATTATCAATTTCACTCATCTTCTAACAGTAACGTTCATTTACAAACAAAAGCTAAGTTAGGAAAATTCTTCAAAGCATAACAATAAAATTCAAACACAGCTGATTTCTAGCGTTGAACGTCGTTGGCTCCATAGAGGTATATTTTTTAAATTATGCACTCAATGTTATTTAAATGGGTTTCTTTACATCACCGAGTGAGTTTTTGATACTTTACATCACTCGAGAAGTAAGGAAGGTGTATACATCACGCTTGGGATAGGGAAGTTTAACATGGCGGGTTAGGTAAAACTATTTAAAACATCTGTCAGCTGATAGATTTGTCAGCTCATTACAACTACGAAACTAATGAAAGTCCATTACGAAAAGTTGAATTTTGCAGGCATATATTTTATCGTCCTATCCCGGACGCGAGTTATTAGCTCGGAAATGTTGTTTTATACATGACTTCAATCTAGTCCTAAAGAGTAGCAGCATCTTTACATGCTAAATCCGTTGTTAAAAGGTGAGATATTAATCGAGAAACTCAAATAACCAAAGCCCCATGCTTAACCACTAGACCAGTTTGCTTTCCGACATTAATATATGTTGGAAATCACGTTGGCAAATTATCACCATGTGAACGTAGCAAAGCATTGGGTAACGTACGGGTTTGCAGAGTGAAATAGAGTAAACCTACTAAGCAAATACCTCATTATCAATGTCGGTTCCTAACCCATTGAAACAGTAGTAGCCTATGTCAGGACGATCTCTCTTCGCAAGATTTGTTTACTCATTCATATAGGGATAGTTGTATGAATAGTTTGTTTGAATCAATTTTTGTACCATATGCTATTGACGTTGTAAAATTTACTTTATCCATGTAACAATCCACGGATAAACTTCTTTTGAAATTAATTATCATTGAATTCAAACGTGTGGAGATGTATGAACATCTTGGCTCAGGACAAGGTTTTATGAGGTTTTGTAAACTTTCAATATTTTACGTCGCCCAAGATTTTTACTGAGTGTTTTAGTAGTTTAACCACAGCTATTTAAACCATAGATTAGCATACATTATGAGAAAGGAATTAAGATTTTTTACTTTCTCGTCTTAATCGTTACACGCCATAAAGCAATAGCTTATATTACAAAAAATATATAAAAAACAGAGTATATTTAACTACCAATAAATACTGTACACAACCTTATGTTAGTAATTTCATAACATTTACGCTTAAACCACTGTTTCAAACTATTAGATACGATATTTTTACAAAAACAGTACCTTTTTTCTAAAGGCTAAACTAGTTTACAGTTTTAATACATGGTTTACTAATTGCAACATATTTTCTGAACTCAGGATAAATTTATTTATCATCACTACTCTTCAAAAAAGTTCCCAGAACAATTACTCATAGCGTAGATGTAATTTTCTACCGTATGGAATTGATGAAGAAAACAATAGTGAATTGGATACAGTCGGAAGAGCAAAGCGGCAGCAAATCGAGTCTTATTTGGAACCAATTCTGTTCAGACGTAGGGAGGGGCCCCGGCACTTCATGTGAGGCTATTTCACGCTGGTACAAAAATAAAATACGTTTTAAAAATACTATAAGCAACAGTATTAACGTCTAAAATTATAACATCATCATGACTTTATATAGTAACATTTTTAACCTTGTAAATTGTTATCAAATTCTTCCAAAAAGAACAGCAAAAAATTCCTCCATTTTAGCTCTGATAGGTGATCTAAAAGGAATAGTATTAGTAATAGTTTTCAACACTAGGAGCTAAATTGGCTATTTTTGGAACGCAATCGTGTTTTACAAGTGAGGCGGAGCCGAGCTTGTAAATACGATTAGGCCTAATTACCAAAAAGACATTTTCACCACACTATCATGTTTTTGGCTGTATTACATACGTTAATTGGTGGCCGAAAGTTACGTTTTGCTGGCGATGCCAGCTGTCCATAATTTGGGGACCGAGCAGGTTTTTACAGGCCGGGGCCGCAAAATCAGCTGTCCGCTTACTTACTTAAAACATGAATGCATTTTAAATACATAATC